CAGGAAGCAAAAGCCGGGATCCGTCTGCTTGGAGCTTCCTCTGGGTCGGGCAAGGAGGGCGTGCTGAGTTCAGAGCAGATGGGGGCTTCCCCCCCCTCTCTCTCTGAGCATCGGTGACTCGTGCAGTAAAACATTAGTTTACATGTGTCATCGGTTGACTCGAGCACTAAACATTTGTTTATGTCCATCTGCGTCTTTCCAGCCTAGCAGCTGTGCAGACAAACCCCTGGAGGCCACGTTGCCAGCAGCTGGGCCCAGCTGGGCCCTCCAGAGGGAGGATGCTCCCTCCTCCCCAGCCAGCGTGCTGACGATGGGGACAATGGGAGCTGAAAGGTAGCACCCCCAGAGGATGGCAGGGATCCGCCTGCGCACCAGCAGACGAGTGTTTTGCCTTGGGGTGAGAAATCCATCCGGTTTGGGCCTTTCCGGAATCCAAGGGACCCAGGTTGTGTTTTCTCTGCCCCACAGCCACACAGGAGTGAGTTTTACACACATACACACAGAGAGTGGCCCTTTCGTTGCGTGTGTGTGTGTGTGTGTGTGTGTGTGTGTTTTAGCAGAAAAAAAGAACACAAACTTTGAACAAGGGGGCTTGAAATCCAGGGTTGTAGTGGTAAAGTTAAAATTTAAAAAGTGAAGAAGGAATAGGTGCTATGTGATTATATGTTATAATTTGCTTTTGTCTTTTTTCCTTTTTCTTTCTTTCCTCTCTCTGTCCCTCCTTTCTTTTTTTCTTTCTTCCATCTCTCTTTCTTTCTTCCTTCCTTTCTTCCCTCTTCCTCCTTCCCTCTTTCTTTCTTCCTTCCTTCTCTCTCCCTTCCTTCCTTTCTTCCCTCTTCCTCCCTCCCTCCCCCTCTCTTTCTTCCTTTTCTCCCTCTTTCTTTCACTTTTTCTCTTTCCTCCCTTCCTTCCTTCCTTCCTTCCTTCCTTCCTTCCTTCCTTCCTTCCTTCCTTCCTTCCTTCCTTCCTCTTATCTTTTTAGACCTCCTTTCCTTCCTGGAGGCAGCTACTATCTGGGAATGCAACCCAATTCGATGCAGGCAGATTCGTACTGCCATAGCAGCCAAGATAGGCACCCCCCCCGCCCCGTCCCCCTCCCAAAATGTCAGTTTGGATACTGAAGACAACAAAGGCTACACTGACCATTTCGAGCGTCAAAGCAAACGGAGACTCAGTTGCCTCTTCTAACTTAGATTAGACTCTCCACAGACAGTTAGGCCGCTGTTTCCTCTCCTCTCTGGATAGGATCCCCAAAGGCATTTGCAAAATGTGAGGAGGGGGCTAGGCTACAAGCCAAGGGAGACAGGCCGCACATCCACGCACACACACACACTCATTTTCCTTCCACTGAGCCCAAAACATACAACTTTTTCTGGCCACGTTCGTTTAAGTGAGTCGCTGCCGGTTGGTAAAACGAGTCACACGGTTGTTCAAATGAACCTGGTTTGTCAGAAGGCCAGGACCCCGGGACACCGCGAGCATCGTAACTATGAGTCCATCGCCAAGTGTCCGAATGCAAATTGCGTGACCGTGGCGGGGGGGGGGGGAATGCTGCAACGGTCATGCATGCGAGGAAAGGGCTCACAATTCACCGTTCTTAGTGCCGCCGCAACTTCGAGCAGCCACTAAGCGAAGCGCTGTAAGTCGAGGGCTGTCTGTGTAACTCGACCCAAGGGAGCTCGGTTAGAGCTCCGTCGAAGGCCGTGTCTTCTCCTCGGAGCCTTCGGCCTCTCCAAGATCGGGCGTCTGGAAAGCCACGTAGGGACACCGTTCCACGTTGAGGCAGACCAGTTTCTGCAAGCTCGCCGTGTTCACGATTTGGAAGCCGGAGGCCCCTCCAAAGGTGCTGGGCTTCCAGTATTCGGGGGAGCAAATGGGGTTCCCCAGGAGCCCCTTCAAGGAGAAGGGGGCCCCCATCTCAATCATACTTTGTCCAAAGATGCTGCCAGGGTAGGTCTTCTCCACCAACAGGCCGGGGAAGAACTCCAGGGCGTCGATGTCTCCATACAGCTCTTCCAGCGTGGCAACCATGTTCTCGTCATCTGCAAACCAAGGAAAGGAAAGCGAGAAATCAGGAAGTGAAGTATCTCAGCTCGTCAAGGGCCTACAAAGATTTCCATGCCTGGACTTGGCTTTCCAACTGCTCCGCGCACTACGGAAGGGCCGCTTTGGAAGGAAGGGATCCACTGATGTTTTTCAACGCTCAACCAACGCTTCAGGGTGGAAGGCATTGCTCCAGCCACACAACTGGACAAGTCCAATCGGACAAGCCCTCAAAGAACTTTTCCTCTGGTCATCCTGTCCTGTCATCCCCACAAATTCATCTTCAGAAGCAAACTCAGGGAGTCCCGTTTAGCTTTCCAGGTAGAGGCATGTTCTGTCCTGACCCAGCTCCCCAAAACACGACAAACCCTCTGTAGTTGAAACAATTATTCTTTTATCAGGAGCGCCAGCAGCCACGGCAAAACGTTTCTCTCTCACCACGGGCTAACAAGTCTGTCTGGCCAGAAGATGAATAGTTGTCTGCCCCATCTATTCATCTCCGCCCCCTGCCTTTTATCCCCAGAGCTGAGGTGGGGGCTTCGCTAGCAGCAGTGGCTCTTCCGTCCCAAGGACCGGCCCATAGATTTCCACTGCTCTCCTCTCCTCTGCCTTCTGTGTATCCATGTGTCAGGCACTGGACCCAGCTGTTCCTCCTCTTCCTCATTAGCCACCTCCAGACCTGGGGGCTGTTGACTCTCCATCTGAGGGCTGACGGATGGCCCAGGTTCTCCCTCTCTCTCTCCCTCCCTCCCTCCCTCTCCCCCCTCTCTCTCCCAGCTCCATTCCCTCTTCCCCCTCAGAGCTCCCAGGTTGCCTTGATGATGACCCTAACTCTGATTCAGTTGCTGGAGGGACCAACAGGCTGCAACATGTCCTCATTCTTGCACCCAATATGGCCAAGCCAGTTTTTTTTCAAGAAGGCTCAAGGACACTTCAGTGACCTTGACATTTTTTTCTGGGGATCGTACCTGTCAGTTCCCGGAAGGACGTGTACGGCTTAAGATGGAACCTCTTTCGGTACTCATTAAAAGGCTGGAAACGCATCAGCCGGGATTCCTTGATTGTTCCAATTGCCACTTTCAGAAGGTTCTTGTTGATATTTGGCTTCCCACCAATCTGAAAAGGAGAACCGAAGAAGGTCCTTTGTCAAGAACAATTTTTTTTAAAAAAATGCTCGATATAGGTGGGTCTCTAGATCTAGGAAGTAACCGTATTTCACTTCATAAAACAGACGAAGGACGGTTGCAGGATTTGGGCTTGGCTGGTCTAGAGAAAAGAAGGACTGGGGAGACACGAGAGCAGCCTTCCAGCATTGTAGGGGCTGCCACGGAAAAGGAGGGGCTCAGCTTACTCTCCAAGGCCCCTGAAGGCAGGACAAGAAACAACGGATGGAAACTCATCAAGGAGAGAAGCAACCTGGAACTGAGGAGAAGCTTTCTGACAGGAAGGACCATTAACCAGTGGGACAGCTTGCCACCAGAAGTTGTAAATGCTCCAACCCTGGGGGAGTTGGAGGAGACTGAGTTGGAGGAGACTCCAACCCTGGGGGAGTTGGAGGAGACTGAGAGTCACTTGTCTGAAATGACGTAGGATCTCCTGCTCGAGAGGGGGCTGGACTAGAAGACCTCCAAGGTGCCTTCCAGCTCTGTTCTGTTCTGATTTTGATCTGTAACCTGAGACATTCTTTCCCTTCCGGCAGAACATCAGCGACTTGCCTGCGCTTGAAACAGGAAGCCACAAAAACCCTTCAGCTCTGAACAGAGCAAAGGTTCCCCCTCTCCACCCTTTTAGAGGGGCATTTTGGATAAATTGCATTTTAATGCCCCCAAATAAGTGACAAATGAGATCTTTTAAAAAAAAACCAATAAAGAGGAACGAGTGAGATCTTACGTGTTACCCAAACCCTCTTTAAGAAAAGAGAAGGGAAAGAGGCAACTTAGATCAACCAGAATAGAGACGGAAGGGACCTTTGGAGGTCTTCTAGTCCACCCCCACCCCCCCACCCCCGATGAAGCAGGAGACCCTATCCCATTTCAGACAGGTCGCTGTCCACTCTCTTCTTTAAAACCTCCAGGGATGGAGCACCCACGATTTCTGGTGGCCGGCTGTTCCCCTGGTTAATTGTCCTCCCTGTGAGGAAGTTTCTCCTTAATTCCAGGT